CTTCCCCATTTCTGTATTTACTTAAATTGTATATTTATAAGAATTTGCAATCAGTCACACTTCAATGCCTAAAGTTGATTCTGTACTAGCAAATGCTTTTAACTGATGTTTCCAAGAGGATTGGTTCTCCAATCAAACAAGGTAGAACACCAATGCAGTCTTAGACCGTTGACATAAACTTTGGTACACCTTTGCTATAAGCTTAAATATTTAATTCGAGCAATGAGGAAACTCGTAACTCCTAGGGAGTCAGTTAGAAAAGTAAATTAGTGTTGGTGAGATTTAAGCTTGTTTTGAGAGAGAGAGAGAGAAACACGGACTCTCGTTCGCAAATTAAGATGTAATGCATATTGTCAGAACTTTTGAATTTCATTATCTAACTAGTTTTGATTAATAATTAACTGTAGTATTCGATTTAAATGTCGACAAATAAGCAGTCTCAGTTTTGCATTTAAAATGTTAATAATGAAATAAATTAATTTGGGAATCATGGTACTTCAAAACAATACATATATATGTATATATATATGTCTTAATGTAACTATATCATATTTATACATAGTTAATAAGATTGAGTCTAATTTAACTTAGATAATTTAGCAAGATATTTGAGTAATTCCAATTTGTATGTAAAAATGAATGCTTTGTTTCGATTACTTATTAGTAGAAATCTCCTCTGACAAAAACCATTTATTTTGATTAAAATTTTAAAAAATAATTGCGGCTTTGTTCTATGTGCTATATGCCATAATATTACTTTACATGGGAAATGACTACAACCTTAGGATTATAAAAATGATTTATCAAACAATGAAGGGTGAAATGGTTAAATTTATTGAACACCAAAGGAGAACGTCTTTTTCCTACGCCTCGTCTTAAGCATCGCTCGGCGTCCGTTTCAGTCACTCTTCATGCAGTGCCTTGTCGAGCACTATAGACGGATTGTGACGTCAGTGGGGATTGCTCCACTCAACGTAACAGGGGGCAGAGATTCGATAGTGCACATATCTAACCCTACACATATTAAGTTAAAAATGAGTTCACCTTCTTACTGGAATTATAAATGTCCCAGTTTGATCACAATAAACTATCATAAAATATATGTGGCCTTATTTTAAATACTTTAATGTAATATACCTTAATACAGAATTTCTTAATGAACACAACTATGAAATTAGTGTTGCTTTATTGGTAAGTTTTTTAATGCAGTATTTGAGCTTTAAATATCGTAGAATTTAACTTTTTACTCGATCTGTTTGTTTCTGAGTATATAATAAGTACACTTTGTAAATGTGTGTGTTTTTCTCAGAGAGATTCCTAAAAAATTAAACACATTTGAATAGTTTTAAGACCATCATTATTGTAATAACCAAGAATACTTTTTTCTTTCATAAATACTAGCAAAATTGTAAGAGGAGATTTTAAACTCTTGCGTACCAGACTGTGCTTTCTAGTGTCACATGAAATCCCAAATTTCTGGGCATGTTAATCTTGACATTACAACTAACATTTCATTTTTCCGTTTGACGATGACGAAGGCAGTCGTTTGTTCGTGTTTCGTTTAACTTTCTTAAGTTTGTGTAGCTAATTTTGGTGTTAATTTTTACTTTTTCTTGCCAATATGGCATCGTCGTTAGATTTCAATGAAAAATACTGAATAAGATTATCTGGGAACCTATGCGTGTGATAATGACTCTGATACGAATTTATCTATTTGTGATGCAGAAGATGAAGAGAACAAAGAGGACAATACACTTATATAATGCATGTGAAAAAGCTTTTCGTTACAATAACATTTTGTGCAGTTTTACAAAGATTTGTAATTTATTTCTAGTTTTTCCAATTTTTGTATCCCAGACATTTTCTATTTTAACTTCTGTAATTTTATACAATCCCAATAAAAGAAAATCTATTTTATAATTTTCCCTACACTGGTTGTACACCTAAATAAGCCATGTATCTACATGAGGTTATATTGGGATTTTGCCCTATACATAGCATGTAACTACTAGTAATTACATGGTACGCGAGAGGTTAATACTTTGTATACTAAGTGGTTCTTATTGCCCACACACAATTATCATGAATAATATACACTGAAGTGCCATTGAATTAGAGATACCTACCTAGTAACGAGTTAGGTCTCCTCTGGCCTTGATAATGACTGCCACACGACGAGGGATAGATTCAACAAGTTTCTGGAAACGTTCCACGGAAATGACTTCTCAAATATTGGCTAAAGCTGTCCATAATTCAGTAAGGTTCATTGGCGCTGTGTGGTGGCCTTTCACGTCTTGTTCCAAAACATCCCAAAAAGGCTCAATAGGACTTAAGCCTGGGCTTATAGGTGGCCCATTTATGAAAGAAAAGTCAGAGGAATGCTCATCCAACCAGCCATTAGTTCCCCTGGAATTGTGAGAGGTACAGTTGTCTTTCTGGAAAACTCCATTACCTTGCGGATAACAGAACAGCATAAACGGATGGAGGTGATCACCCAGCAACTTTACGTACCGAATTTCATTGAGGGAGATTGGTACACGCACCAAAGATCCCAAACAGTGCCACGAAAAAACACCCCGGATCGTGATTGAGCCACCATGCCCTTGTACAGTTCCAATCTGACATGTAGGACCCATGCCTTCATGAGCCTGACGCCGTATTCTCAACCTTCCGTTGGTGTTACGTAGTCGAAATCGGGACCAAGCGGAACGGACGAAATCGTTTCCAGCGTTTTACACTCCAGTATCTGTACTCTTTTGCCCAGGCAAGACGTGCAGTCCGATTGCGAGTATCAAGCAATGGTATTCTCGCAGGTCGATGGCTCCCGAAACCCAAACGATGAAGCGGGCGTTGCACAGTCCATTTACTGACAGTACGACTGGCACCATCATTCAACTGGGTAGTAATTTGAGCTAACGTTTGGCTTCGCTGGCTACGTACAATACTCCTGAGTCGTCTCTCACCACGCACTGTCATTGTCCTTTACAGTTTGCCCGATCTCTAATTTTTTGTCCACCATCCATGTATTCTTGGTATATTCTTGACACTGTCGACCTTGAAAATCCTAGCTGTCTGACGATTTCGGAAATTGAATGGCCCATGCGTCGCGCACATACGATTTGTCCGCGATCGAAGGCGCGGCCCATACTGGCAATTCCCTCAACTAATACAGAACAATTGTCTACGCTTGACGTCTCTGGGCAATTGGCCCGCAAAGCGAACCTCCATCCCATATCTTTGTCCGAGATCGAAGAGGTCTAAATCAGGCAGTTTACCCATACTGCCAATTCCCACAACTAATTCAGAACAATTGCCTACGCTTGACGTTTCTGGACAATTGGCTCGCAAAGTGAACCTCCATCCCATATTATAAAGTCTTTTGGTGACTGACAAAGTAGCAGTCCTAAGTGAACAGGCAGATTCCTGATTGGTGGAACGATCGTGGAAAGTGGGAGTGGGTAAGTGGTACTTGCAACAGAGTCCAAGTAAAGGAAAGTGAGTTCTGAAGTTCTAATTCAGAACAATCACAGTACGCGCTATATATGCAGTTACCACAGCGCCCTCACTTGAGCATTAATGATGCACAGCGGTACACAATTTGCACTCCCTTGATATCCCTAATCAATGGCACTTCAGTGTATATATACTGTTACCATTGACAAAGTTTCAGAAAGTATCTCAAAGTTACTACTATCATTGAGGGTTATAAATTCGGAATGAAATACTTGATCTAATTTGTTTTGGTTCAGAATAAATAACTGTTTATTAACCTAATCACAGCAGTTTCTGGTTAATAAACATAAAAAAAACTTACACCATCGCAAAAATCAAGCCCTAAATCGCTGCGGGAAGGTCTTCGATAACCAGCTAAATTGAGTGCATAAATTCCAATCTCTCCTTTGACAAGTGACAATAAATCAATCCTGAAATTTTTTATTAAAAAAAATCAAAAACTTCTTCTCGAGTTTAAAACATCATTCATCATAAAATATTGGATAGATCAAACAGGAAAAAAAAACGAAAGAAAGCCAAATATCTTTACCGTCGATTAGAAAATTTGAGAGGAGTAGCTTAAGATATTTTTTTTATATATATACATTTCCTTATCTTATTTTTTTATAATTAATTTCTCAATCTCAAACTACGCTGGAGGTTGGAAAAAAAGGCCCAAAAATTAACAGAAAAAATGGTGTTACGCCTTTTATAATTGATAAAAAAGTTAGAATTAAGAGTTTAATTCCTTTTCCAATTTTTTTGTGATGTATTATTTTATCTTACTTCATTTTCTTGGGTAAGTTTCTTTTAATGGAGCAAACTGGCTCGAAAACTGATTTTTTTAAAACTGCCGATTCAGCATGATTTTATTATTTTTTGTAATAAAGATATCTCATAATGGTAATAGATCATTTTGATGGATTTTTGACTGTTTTTGAACAATTCAAAAGGGAGATATTTTTTAATGAATGCGTTTAAAGTAGAGAACTGTGATAAATTATCGCAAGAAGTTTGAAACACTGAAAAATTGAACATATAAATAAACAGTATTGTTTAATTTTAAAATACATTAAATATCAAAAGTGGTACAACTTTCTACATTCTAATATATACTATTATATATTAATAATTTAAATGTTGTAATGTACAATTATATACATAATTAGTCTTCTGAAAAATACTACAGTATTATTTACATATTTAATTTTCTGAAATAGGTAAATAGATTTATTTTTTTCATATCCTACTATTAATTCACACTCTCCCTATATATATATATATATATATATATATATATCTTGTTCAAATGTTCAATCGTTAATAAAGTACTTTCTATACATCCATTCAAGTTCAATTAGATTTTTAAAAACTTGTAGTGGATAACACTTAATGTTAATACAGTTTTTTCAAATATTAATTTATTAATTCAATTAAAGAATGAATAAATAGTAACAAACAAAAATAATAGTCCAATAACATATATAGAAAGAAAAGTCGTTCGTTTTGTCCCTGTAGCGCAATGGATTGCCTGTTGGACTTCTAATCCAAAGGTCGTGGGTTCGAATCCAGCCTGGGATGACCTAATTTTTGAGAATGTGATTTTTTCTTACTATACTATTTTATTAGAATAATTAAATTTAATTATTGAATAAATAGTAACAAACGAAATAAATAGTCAAACACCATATATAGAAAGGAAAATGGAAAATCGCTTTCTATTTTGTCAACTTAATATTGTGATTCTGTGTTATATGCATATGCATATTTATATTAATTATAACTATTTAATAAAAAGTAACTAAAATAAAATTTTTCTTTGTTGACTTAAGTAGAAATTGGTTTAATTTTTTTTTTTTATGTTACCTCTTCCTTGGTATTTCTTACTTGATATTTGGCAATGGTAACTTAGTTTTAGTGTATTCATATTATTCGCGCGCGCGTGTTTTGTGTTATGGTTATTTTTAATATTAATGAAATCTTATTTTTACTCTATTTTCTTGCTGATCAGTAGTATAGGCAAATTTAGAGGAAAGTTGGCTAAATTTAAAACTATGTTTATCCCTGCAATCCTACGGCTAAAGGGAGTGAGTGAGTGAATATTAACGTCGCTCTGTTTAGCTACACGAGGTTTGGCGACAGACCTCGTTTTTTTTAACATGGTCAAGTGATGAGGAAGACACCTGAGCTGGCATCTCTTTCTCCTAACTACCACACCAACGGGAGGACGTTTGAGCTCTCGACAGATTTAACGTGCATCGTTTCCCTACACGGTGGGTCTTCAGTGGTACAGGTTCGAACACATGACACACCGGCCACGAGTGCGTTACATTGACTACTAGGCTACCGCTGCCACCCTAGGGCTACGAGTTTGCTTTTATACTACTGAGGTCAACTTATTTTTCATTTATATTGTCTTGTTTTATTTTTAAATTCTTGCTTTGTTTATATATGTATTTTTAAATATACATGAGCAATAAAATAACAAATCTTTAAAGCTGATTTTGTTCTGTTAAATTATTTAAAATTGTCCCTCCTGCTGTGAGATGTGCTTTTCAATTAATATTAACAAGCAATCCTGAGATTATTAAAATATTATTCTAGAACAAAAAATATTAAGCTTTAATCGTGAGGTTATTGTTTTTATAGCTTATTATTATGTACTTAATTGAATTTGGGAAGACTTTGAAAAATAAAAACATGTTAAAATTTATAAGTAAATTATAATAGCTGAATTTTTGTCATTATTTATTTTATACTAATATAATTCTTAGAAGGAACTATTGATAATGGGAAAGAAAGAAATTTTGAGCTGTAATTACACTTAACGTAAAATTACGGATACCAAATTTACGGGTGTGCGTTATACGCCGGGTATAAAAATGAGATCTTTAAAGATAAAAAAATAAAAGAGGAAAAACTAGACTTATATATAGCACGAAATATTATTTATTTAAAAGAAATGACATTCCTTATGAACATAAGGGTTGTAGCTTTAGAAGTATACTATTTTTCCTAAAGCTTGGAATAATACATCCAATAAATGACTTCAAAAGTTAGGAGCATTCCACACGTATATTTACGCGTTATACAGCGTATTTTACGGTAATTAATATAAATCATTAGAAAAGTAAGAATAACAACATTCATGTCAGTACACATATTTTTTTCATTTGTATTTTAAGGAATTGGATTTAAATGTTAAATATACATTTTCCAACTATGTAAGGTTTTATATTCTAAGTTTAGTAACAAATGGAAATATGAAAGATAAAAAAATATACTAATGTAAATTACGAAAGTATATTATTTTAATATAGTTCTATCATTTTTGTTTAAATTTTTTCAGTAGAATTGTATTGATAATTAACATTTTAAATATGATTAAGAAAATAATTTTTATTTCCTTATTTATTTCACTGTATTGGTAATACCGAAAAGAAACAATCACTGGAATTCGAGAATTACATTGTTTACGTAATTATATTTTGTCTTTGATTTTACTTTGAATTGATTATCTCTGAGAAAAAAAATATACTTAGAAACGGTGAAACACATCTTGGGAAAAATTCAAGAATATTAGAATTGGCAATACACGATTACATTAATTATTAATGAAAGCTATATTTAAATCAAGTTGATTAAATTTTTTTATCGATTAATACAAATATATTTTTAATTTTCAAACTTGATAGTAATCGATATATGTTTGTTTTACCAACAGTAATTGAAAAGTATATAAATGCTTACAATTAATACAAATATATTTTTAACTTTCAAACTTGATAGTAATCGATATATGTTTATTTTACCAACAGTAATTGAAAAGTATATAAATGTTTGATTATTATCAGAATGACTTGGAAACACACATGTGCAAATAATTTTAATATTTAGAGAAGAGGAATAATTTTAATCCCACAAACAATTTGATCAATTTGTTTTATAATAATTTTAAAATTTTGTAAAAATATAATTTTTAAATTAATTTTCTCTTTCAATGCAATCTTTTAGTGCCGTTAAAAAATTCTGATAGATTAGGATATTTATTAAAAATGAAAGTTGCTTTTTTCAGTCATTATTAAGAAGCGCTTTGAATATCCTTTAAGAAAGTGGATTATTATTATTGACATACTTGCTAACACTCTTAACACATCACTTTCAAAGAGTTCATTAACATTCATATCACATTTGGGAATCATAAAAAACACCTTTCTTCGCCCAAAGTGTCGTTTCATAAAACATACATTTTTGTTCCTCCTGTTCAAACAAGTTCCTTCCTTAAACATAACCACTTCCGCCGAAATCTTTATTCAGGAGGTACTATGGAACGCCTCTTTTCCGAAACGAAATGAAATAAAATAAAATAAAATAGAGTGAGTGCATGATAGAAAAGAACTGTTAACCATTTCCATTCCAGACTGTTCCAAGTTCTTGCTAAACCACCTGTCATAGTGTTTACCATCTCCTCCACCAACCGGCACGCGTGCTTTGCCGCCGTTATCCATCGTGGAACATAACAATAAAAAAAGTGTCCACTCACTCTTATTCTGAGAAAGGTATATAGATCATCAAAAATATGATGTTACCACTGCGCAAATGGAGAAGAATCTATTGAACGGTCATGCAATCTGCTCGTTAAGCAAGATGGTATATGGCAGTCATCAGCCTTTTTCACCGTTTTGTTCAGAACAGGCAATGAAGCGGTATCTTTGCTTCGTGTGTTTCTCTTTTAGATTCTCTTCCCCCCTCCCTTCTTTTTTATTATTGTTATTATTATTTTTTTGCTTTTTATTTCTTCCTCTTCGAGAGAGAGTAGATCGCTTGTGTTTGATGTCCGCCTGACTATTCACTTTGGACCATTATCGTTCTACGAGCAAAGTATATATATATATATATAAATGGTGTTCCCTTGTAAAATAAAGAAATCCTAAAAGCAGAAGCAAATAATGAAAAGGAGGAAGAAATGAAAGCAAAAAAATATATAATAATAAAAGAATGGTTTTAAGTCGCATAACGAGTTATGGGGTTCTATTTGATGGCAGGCTTTAGTGAAGTAAATTTGAAGGGGAATATATACCCCCGGTTCCTCTTTCTATCAACAGAAAATTGAGCTGTCTTAGTCTTGCGTTCGAACCGGAAGAAATCCTATCTTCTTTCCGTGGTCTTCTTTAAACTATATCATTATCTATCATCTGCTAATCGTGCTTGAACTAAGTAAGAAAAAAAAGTTTCGTGACGAACAAAATAGAGTTTTTCGCTTTAAAAAAAAGGAGCGTAACCTTATCCTTATCCAAGAGTTTTAGTAAATTACGACCGTTCGCTTAAACAATAAAATATCCATTTGCCATACTGTCTTCAGAGAAAGCCTTATTTCGCTATTTATCTTTTGACTTCGAAAACGACGAAGGGAAACAAGTTGGATTGAAATAGCTATTTTTGTTGAAAAACAACTCTAGAATGTGCACATTGTACAATATCTTTTGCCTTTGGATTTGATGAAGAAATCCTTTTTTAACATTTTTGTAAAGAGGCCTTTTTTTAATTCAAAAATAATGAATAGAGATTTTCTGATTGTCCTTTAATAGCATTGGTTCATTTGTTTTTGATTCCTTCAAACACTAATTTGTAAAAAAAAAACCCTCCAAACCTATTTAGTTTGTAGAAAAATAAAGTTAAACATTTTAAAATAAATGGAAAAAAAGTAGGTAAGGTATTTTAAATTCGTGAGTTTACATATTTACATATATGTATAGTGATAATCTCCTTTATATAAGAAGGGGAGGGGAACTTAAAATATAAAATTATAACATGTTGTAACATTCCAATAAGTAATTCCAAATGCTAAAATTAAATAAAAAGTTGAAACAAATCAATAAGTTTTTATCACTTTTTAATAAAGAAAATAATAAGTAATACATGCCATTTTAAAATTTTATTATTACAAACAGATTTTATATTAAACATTTTTTAAACATAGATATATTTAAGCATTTTGTTTCACATATAATCATAAAATATTATTGCCTACTTAACTTAGAGATATATTATGTACACTATGAAATATAATCAAAATTTTGTAAATATACTTGCTTATAAATCTTTAAAAAACCGCCGTAAGACAAAGGAGATTATCTTTAAATTTGATGAAATTCATTGCAAAATTCAAATCGTTTTGCAGAAAAATTTTGCGCAACATATTGAAAACAGATATAAAGGCAATTAACTAAATCAAAAATATTTTTTTCAATTGTAAAAGATTTTTGGATCTTCGAACATTTTCTTAGTGAACATTTTAGAAAAGGATTGGGTATATTGATAAGAATAAACTGCTAAAAATTAAAAGTTATTACTGAATAAGCGTTAAACTAACTCCTTAGTTAAACGCCATTATTACACTTTAAATAATATTTATGAAGAAATACAAGGGAGTATATTGATAAGTATTTTACAAATCTGATTTTACGTATACAATTTTAAAAAAAAAAACGTTCTTTATAAAAACATTTAAGGCTTTAATTTTTGATTCTTAGTTTGCTAAAACCATGCTTAATTCTGTTATTTAAATTTTCCCACTCTTG